AATTTATTATTTCTGGAATAGTTTTGGTTTTAAATTTTTCCTAACATTTTTCCTGAAAAATTTCGGAAATTAAAAGTTCCGAACAATACCTCCCGCACCGAGGGGACGGGAGAAAACGCCGCGCTCACGGACTCCTCTATCTTTGCAGCGCGCCACTTCCTGACGCGAGCCCTGCTCAACTGCGACAACTTCGAGGCCGCGCAGCACGTGCTCCGCGACGAGGGGTGCGGCGCGGGCGACGGCGTGTCCATCAACATGACCTTCCTGAACCAGGAGGGCGACCGCCTGTTCCACAACGCCGAGGTGGGCCCGTCCTGCGACGCCGACTGCCGCAGCCCGCTCAACATCCTCACCTGTTCGCCCGGCGAGCACATCTTCCACTGCAACAAGTGAGTGCTGGTGGCCGCGCCGTGCTCCCGCCCTGCCTCCTCCCCCAGAGAGCTGACCCACCCCTTCCTCCCCCGCTGTCCCCAGGTACCTCCGGCTCAAGATCCCGGAGGTGGGCGGCATGATCGTGTCGAGCAGCGACGCCAGGCACGCCACCATGGAGGCGCAGCCGGACCCCTTCACCCTGCAGGACGTGATCAGGGTCATGGGCGACCAGTCTCACCCCGAACACAACATCTTCCGGGAGGCCGGCGACGACGACTTCGTCAAGACCGTCGCCGTGGGTGAGTAGCGAGCGTGGCTCGAGCCCGGCGTCACAAAAAACAATGCAGAAGTCACGACGGGGTCACATCGACGCCGATGGCACATGTCCCCGTGGCCCTTTCCCCCCTACTCTCGTAAACTGTAATCCACTTTGTGTTGCTCCCAGGCATTTTCGACTGCGTGAACCGGACGTGGAGCCTGTACACCGACAACCCAAAGACACATGACCCAGTAGTGGTGCTTCCCCTGCAGATCAGGAAGCCCTCCAAGTGAGAGCCGTGACGTGTGAGCCAGGGGTGCGGGACGGGGAGGGGGTCGAGGGCAGTGGTGCCGCGGCGCCTGGGCAGCATGGGGACGCCCGCTGACCTTGCCCCTCCCCTCCCCACCCCCAGCCCCTCACAGAAACCCACAGCCCCCAGGAACGTCGTCCGTCCTCCTGAACCAAATCTACACTATGAACGGTGAAATCGCGTGTAATAGACCAGAGAAATAGGCAGCGAAAGAACATGGAAGTGTGTGGTGCAGACTAGACTGATGTTAGCTCGGCTCTATTTGGGGCACCTTTAATAGTGCCTGAGGCGAGGCACTTTGATTCGAAGGGACAGCACTGGGTAACAACAAGGTCACATTGATCTCTATCCTATGGGGCAGGTGAGGTATCCCTTCTGGTCAGGATGAGTGAGTTGAAGTTTATGAAGTTATTTAAGTTACCCTGAACTAATTATATATTTGGAGAGGGACAGTGACACATTATTATATGTTCTATGACCCTAAATAGTTTTGTCTTTAAAGGTAAAATTTGAGTTTGAATGTTTATTTATATGAATCTAGAGATTTATGAATCTTGTTACTTTCTCATTTTGAAGTGAGTATTTGTGTAATTCAATAAATTAAAATTGAAAGATCTGTTTAACTTTTTCTGGTATAAATGCCAACAATAATAAAAATAAATAAATGATGAAATCACGTCAATACAGAAAAATGTGAGGCCCTTTCAATTAACTTTCAACAAACCAACGTCTGATTTGTGATTCTTCATTCCACCTTCACTAGTAACTAGTAACTACTGATGAATGTTGCCAAGCATACTTAAATTGTCTCTAAAACAACAAAATATTCTAAAGCACATTAACTTCTCAAGTACATATATTTATCACATTAGAAATAAGACCATTCAAGACAGCCAAACAAGGAAAAAAAAATACAAAGATTTATAGTAGTTAACACATCACTCTCACTGACATCAGGAACACATGACAACAAGATGGAATATGAAAAAAGAAACTAATCTATATATGTGAAATGAATCTGGAATGCTGCTCTTGACACAGTGAAGTGTGTTGACAAACATTTTCGTCTCACGCATACAGATTACATTGCAAAAGAAAAATAAAATAAAATAAGAACAACACATTAAAGTATTTACAAAAATTAATAGATTAAATTTAGCAGTTCCCAGAGAGAACAAGAAAAGAAATTCAGTGCAAAGGATTTACACTCCACAATTACTGTTACACTCTAAATATTATCACAATTCATTTATGACCTCAACATTTCAGTAGATTAAAAGATACGAAGCCTAGATTAAAACAATTTTGAATCCAAGTCTATTTTGATGTGGAAATTTGTTTTAATAGTGAAGGTACTGTAGTAATTACAAGCAAATAGTTCAATGTTCTCAAATAGGCATATTACAAAATTGTTTCAAGCAGGCTTCCTCTCAATGTTGTTTGATCTTACATTCTGCCACAGCTCCCACCAGGGCAACCTCCCATATTGACAGAGCCCTGGCCGAACATATCACCAAATGATCTGAAGTTTCCTCTTGGCTTTGGTGGGCGAGGAGGGCTGTATGAGGAAAGACGAACAGGAAGTGAGACCCCCAAAAAAGATGTAGCCCATTAAATTCTCCATTACAAGCTGAAACTGATCAAATTGTGATAGTGGATCATATGCTGAGTCAACATACCCGCGTCCGTTGAAACCACCCCCACCGCCTCCTCCACCACCACCGCCACCACCTCGAGGTGCTCTGTAGCTTGTGCTCTCCCCATCTGAATTACGTAGACCTGGAATGAGGGTTGTGAAGCTGCAAAACACAAAACACAATAATGGTGACAAAGTCTAAACAGCAATACTAGAATGTTTAAATACACAAAATATTTACTTACAACAAATACACAACATTCAAAAATCCCCAGAACATGGATGTGATTTTGGAAACACCCCATGGCATGGACTCGTGAATTGTACCATCTGAAAGAATAAAGTAAAATTTGAACAAAAGAATGCTAAACACAAAGTGCCCATTAAAATTAGGTAAACATGAAATGCTTTATAGAGCACAGTTTATTTTGATGTCTGATAAAGATTAGTATTCAAGGAAATTTGTCTATAATAAAAAAGCAGAAAAGAATTCTTAAAAAGAAAGGTTATTACTGAACTAGTCGGAGCAATGGCATAGTATAAATGTAACATTTAAAGTACGTAAAGCTATTACCGTTGTCAATCCAAGTCATTTTGGTCAAGGATCTTAAAAAGCGATGAAAAGTAACTTGGGATTTCACCACGTCAGCCTGAAACTGGAACCTTCTACTTCCGAGAACACAACTTCAAACAATAACACCACCCACATCAAGTCTGAAGCGGGGGAGAAATGAGAGAAAACGTGATGACGTCAGACTATGTCCTCTATAGGCAGGCAATACAAACTGCAAATAGTTGACTCTGCGAACAGTGTGCGCGTGGGAGCGTTGAAATCCATTGAGTGACAGACAGACCTGCGTGAGTGTGAGGGGATCGGATACGAACAGATTAACAGCTGAATCCTCAGTTAACTTCAAGTTATCGTGCTTCCACAATGCATGTCTCACCGAAATCCTTAAGTGAGAGTCTGTGATCGAAATGAGCGACACAATTTTTCCTCGCCTAATCATAGAGAAAGTGAAATTTTTCTGACCTCAGCAATCTGAGGTACCTCACTCATGTTGGGTGAGAACCATAACTTACAACTCAAATAATAGAACGAGTAAAATAATCGCGGTCACGGGAAACGTGAGTTTTTGGAGGTCTCGCTCCCAAGAGCTGACTGTGCTAATGAGGCTAAGCAGAATAGCGCCTGGTGGTGCGCTTCGGGTAGGCCAACCCGCCAAGCAGGAGTGTGAGGTTGGTGGCCCGCTCCCCCTCCCCTCTCACCCGAAAGCAAGGTAGCCCGAAAGCGCTCCAGCCCCAGGAGCGGGAGCGTCGGCAGAGAAGACGTTTATCGTGGAAGCATCTCACGGTAACAATTCCACACCTTGGAGTGGTCAGAATCCTAAGTATAAGCTCAACAAACTAAATGTGGTGGAGTATTGGAAGTGATGGCACTTTCCGTTTGTATTAGGTGCGGCTGCTGTCACGGGTTCTTGTGACAAATTAAAGACAGATACGTCCATGCCACGGTGGCTGAATATGCCCGCGAATTTCTTAAGTAGTTATACTGGCCGCTTGGAGGCGTGTCGGCGGGTTGCATATCCGACCGGGGCCGTATAAGGCACCGTGGTCAGCGAAACGATAGGCAAAGGGCAATTTGCAATTTGCAAACCGCCTGCAAAGCACTGATTTGCAAGAACTGAGTGAAATTTTTTGTGTAGACCTTTTTAGCAGATGATACCTTAAAAACCTTTTGACTAAACGTAAAGAATAGATAAGTAAATTTAAGGTGTCAGCTAGCTTTTACTCTCGAAACGGCAAGGGAATCAAGCGGAGACCAGAAAACAATTTCTTTAGCGCTGGCGGAACCGTGTCCGGGTGGGTGCCTGAGTGAGTGTCGCTTCAGGCCCCTACCCTAACCCTGCTTAACAATACTAGGCTCCCCGTCCCTGCACAACAATACTATCCGACGCCGGCCTATGTGCCCGCGCTTTTCAACGCCGCTTGTTCGCTGAAATTGCAAATAACAAGAAACCAGAAACAAATGACAGCTAAATCCGGGAGAAAATTTGAAAACAGACATATTCTTAAAGTTGTATCATCTGCTTTCAAGATAGATTCTTGATTTAGATTTTCAAAGCAAAAATCCCTGATGATGAACTCTGTGGTACGGTGACAAGGGGTACGGGTACAGTACAGTACAGTACAACGAGTTTGCGCGGATTAGGCGCGAGTCGAGCGACACCCCGGTGTCATGTTAAACTAATTCTGCTGACAAAGTACACGAATTAAGTAGCAAATCGGTGACTGGGGTCCCGGGGGGTCATAGGTTACCGGTCTCACTTGCACGGTGGGTATGTCGTGCGGAGACCTCTGATGTCAGCCATAGTTTGTGAGACTCAGCACGTCACCACCATTTAAAAAATTAATAATTTATTCAACATTGCTAATAAATACATAAATACATCGTACACCATACGTATGGAGTGCTGAGGGTAAAGTAGGGCCGAACTACAAACACGTAGGTCTCCTCACGGCAAAAAAGGCATTGCTTTATGTGCTGTATTAGTTAAATATATCCATTATGGCTGGCCACACTTGAAACGACGATAGTACCTTAACTGAATGGGGAGAGCAGTACTCTCGTATAAGTAGGCCTAGTAAAACCGGACCGACACATAAAATGTTTCGTTCGGTTTCGTTGGAGTAGCTCAATTAGTTGTTCCAGAAAATTGTTCGGTTTTCTGTCCCGTCATCAGCAAATAACGTTCGAGAACTTTTTTTTGCGTTTGGCTGGTTTAGATATTTACTCTAGACCAAAAAGAAAAAAAACACATTGTCGTAAGTAAAAGTGAACGATACTAAGATCATACACAATAAGCCGCATCCCTGCGAGCAGCGCCGATCTGGAATGCGCATCTAAATGTGATGTTTTGTGACACATTTGAGCATTCCCAGTGATAATTTTTTTTCCGGCAACGTCATTTCGACATCTTTTTTCACGTCGTTACGACATGAAAGTGTGCCTGAAATCAACGGCTTTTCGACAGTCGGTATCGTTCCCACGTTTCTCTGTCGAAAAGCCTCCGATTTCAGGCACACTTTTATGTCGTAACGACGTGAAAAACAATGTCGAAATGATGTCGGAAAAAATTCTCAAAGTCTCAAATTCACCTAAAGAAAAACGTGTTTCTCACGAAGACCTCATTGTGACCTCTTTATGACTTACGAGGTCACGATTCTTGCACTTGTGACCTCACTGGTGACCTCACAAGCTCAAGGAATCGTGACCTCAGAGGTCACAATGAGGTCTTTGTGAGAAAAACGTTTTCCTTGGGCATGTGCATTATTTGGCGCTATACTAGCGGAACTGCGACCTGATTTCTACATTTAGTATCACAGTGTTTCTTAAAGATCAAAGACGGCGATTTGCGAATAGTAATAATGATAATAAATAATACGGAGCTGGATGGGCCTAGCTGACGATGGTGACCCTCTTGTCCTCCTCGCTCATGTCCTTGTCTCCCCAGCCCCAGACGGGGTGGGTGCCGTCACCCGTGCGCAGGCAGCGCGCCATGACTAGGTCGCGGTTCACCGACTTGAGGTGCGTGGCCTGGCCTATCTTGGCCATGAGCTCGATGAAGACTGCGCCGTAGTTGGAGGCGTAGTAGCTGAACTCGCCCGACTTGTAGTCCCAGGGGAACACGTGGTGGTAGTTGTGATAGCCCTCGCCGCCGATGCCCAGGGCGACCAGGAAGTTCTCCCGGGCGGCGATGGACCTGCGGGGTTGGTTGAGGAACGAGAAAATGGTCAGAATGAGAATGATCACCGTTCTGGCCAAGCTTGGGATTTAAAAATCCGAAATATTTTCAGAAAAATTGAAAAATAAAAACTGAAACTTTTCGGGGAAAAAAATAGGAGCCCATGAAAAAAAGTCGTGAAAAATTTCCAAAAAAACACTTTTCCTGAAAATTAAAATACCCAGTCGTGGCACTAAATCAGGTCCGCGCCGCCGCCGGCTGGTGGCGGCTGCCTGCCTGTCCGGCTCCTCCGTGAGGAGTGGCCGTCGAAAACCCCCCAACCGAGGCAAGGTATTGTCATTGTCGTCTCACCTCACCTCGTAACACTTAATCTCCATGACTATATAAGGGATCAGTTATCCAGAAAATACGTCAGGATTCGGCCTTACAAAACTGCCTATGTCAGCCAGTGCAAGCTATCATAGCGCCTGGCAGGTAGGCAACATCTTGCACGCAGTGCATGCGTGTACGGCGGGGTGGCCTACCCCGAGTCTCGCAGGCGCCGAGCTCGCGCGATATACCGAATGAATCTCAGAAAAACACGGACGTACTTCGTAGAGGACCCATTTGATCGTCCAGTAGACCCACCGCCAACCTTAGCCATAGCTTGTGATCGCATCCGCCCTTTGCAATAACCCAACTACAGAGCTCATCGCCCACGCTCAGTGAAAGGCCTACACGTGCACCAATGAACCCTCCATTATGTAATCTAATGTTTCATTTGAACCCAACAAAAAGAGTTTAAAAACTGAACCAAACTAACTGTAAAGATAAAGTTATCGGAACACACCGCCGTTATTGTATAGAGGTAGAACGCGTTACTCACTTATCGTAAGGACGCGAGCCGACCATGTGGGCCGCGGAGTTGACGAGGAAGATGGCGTGCAGGCAGAGCGTGAAGCGGAGAGCCACGGCCACGAGGAAGGCATTGGCGTGCGTCTCGTCCCACAGGAGCATGGGCACAGCCACGGGGATCAGGTACCACAGGAACGGCATGAACACGTAGTAGTACCTGAGGATGCGGCATGAACGGGCGATGACGAATTAAGCAAAATTCACGAACAAAAATAAAGTAAATGATGCAAACAGGACAATCACTGTAAAAAAAAATATTCTCGAAAATTTACGACATATTTTATAATTCAAAATATGTTGTAAATTTATAACACCTCCAGGTTGCTTGTCGACAAATTCCAAGTGCTTGTAGTCTTACATTTTTGAATTGTACTTTTACGACACGCCTCAAGGAAATTTTTCCCGCAAAACGTACAACTATTTTTTACAGTGAACTGAAGTGTTTAAAGACTCCCAGGTTGGCTTACTTCTTTTGGTAGTAGACCACAGGGTCGGCTAGCAAGTCGCTGGAGTCGATCGTCTTTCCGAATCGAATCACGTCCGGGTGCTTCTTGCACAGCAGCCAGCCGACGTGCGAGAAGAAAAAGCCCCTGCGGGCGTTCACGTGGTCGGCGTCCGTCTCGGTGAACTTGTGGTGCGCGCGGTGGTCGATGGCCCATTGGTAGATGCTGCCCTGCAGGGGCAGAAGCGTTTGAGTCTCTGCTCAGCCCAGAAGCTAACCCCTTTTCAGAGAGCGTGGGGTACGCTCTAGAAGCGCGCGTTGCAATGATTTTTTTTAATTTTTTTTTAGGCGTCATGATGAAGTTACCGAATCAAAACCTATTTTATCAACGCGTTTACAGGATAGTGTACAATAAACATCGTTTTTTTCCCTATACTGTATCGCACGCAAGGCGAGCGGGCGAGCTTGCCTACCCTGGTGTCTTACGAGCGCGAAGCGAGCAAGCAACCTGCTTACATAATTTTAGCCCCCTATACATCCTACGTGTATCTCTCCTCACTCACCTGCCAGCTCATGGTGTTGAACGCGGCTAGGAGGATCCTGAGCGGCAGCTTCGCCTTGTAGGCCTTGTGGCTCCACAGCCTGTGGACGCCCGAGGTAACCCCAAGGTTACACGCGAGGAACAGGAGGAAGGCTGTGGAGGAGGAGGAAAACTACTGTTGTCGGGTAGGGTTGGAAGCCCTGGAAAGTTTCCGGAAAATTGCAGCAAAAAACTGAATTTTTTAGGGAAAAGCAAACAATTTCCCAGACCCCAGAAATTTTCCCTTTTTTGGAAAATTTTGGGGAATTTTCCGTAAGTTTTCCGGAACCTTTCGGAAATTTTCAATCCTACCGCCCCGTCCTTGCTTTGCTGTGACTCTCCCATCATCTCGCTCACCCCATGCGGTGGTCAGGAGCTTGACGTCCGTAAAGATGAGCTTGATGGCGTAGACGGAGAGGGCGTTGAACAGGAGGTGGCCCGCCACCCGGTCCCACAGGATGGGCTGCAGCTCGCGGTACGACTTGCCGCTGGTCCTCTCGTCGTGCTTGGCGATGGCAGTGCGGTAGTCCGGCTCGGCCTCGTCCTCGTACAACACCCCGCTCTGCGCGGGTGCTTCCTTGACGTTGGGTGGCATTTGTTTGGAAGTGCGGGTAGTTCTCTTGGCCGGGGTGGCGCGGAGCCTGCGGTGGACGCGGACGGATCGGGGGGTAATGGGGTGCCCGGGCTGGTAGTGTCACCGTGCGCCTGCACGCCCGGTCTCCGCACCACTGCTTTATAACGCGATGTGCGAAGCGGGCGGAATTCCTCTCTGGAATGACCCCCCTGTCCGTCTATCACTCTTTCCCCCTCTCTTCCCGACCTCTCTCGCTGATTCGCACAGCGCAGACGCCCAAATGCATTACCCTATGACAGTGACGCACAGCGAGGGCGTGTTATGCTAAGCACGGTTTCCCCGGTCTACGGGTTTTTGAAGCGAAGGACGCTAGGCTTTGCAAGTTTTAAGAGGAAGGTCAAGGGGCACCGTCTCGTGTCTCATACAAAGTCGATTGCTCAGCTCATGCACGCGATTATCTGCAGTTAAGGTGAATACACACTTTTTGCGACGTCGCGTCAGAAAGGGGGATCGCCACTGTCGTCCGTAGTGAACCGCCTCGATGGTAGGCAATGTGCACGACAAAACCCCTGTGTGTAGACAATTGACAGTGTATCGCCCCACTATCTGCACGTGCTTAATTGAGTGAGGAAAAAAACCTCGCTCTCCAGAGAGCGAAGAAATTTACATTAAATCCTCGCTCTCCGGAGAGCGAGAATCCTCGTTCTTGGATGTCTAGCGGGGCCTTTCTCTAATTTCATATTTATGGGAACCGAATGTGATTACTTCTGTCCCACAACTCTGAAAACCCAACAGCATGCATTGCATGCGTTATATAAAGCATGCATGGTATGCATGCTGTATTAAACGCATGCATTGAGATGCATGCTGTTTTTAACGCATGCATTGAGATGCATGCTGTATTTAATGCATGCATTGAGATGCATGCTGT